TAGAGTTAGCCTTGGGCTAAACACTTCAAGCTAAGTTTAGCAGCTATTAGAAATAATGCAGTAGGCAGGAAGGTTCTGGAAGTACTGGAGGTAAATTCAGGACATTTTGAAACATTCAAGCACTTAGAAAAAGAAACAATTGTGAAAGACTGACCTATTTCAAGCTAGGCACAGGTACAGTTAGTCATTCTTATACTAAAAACCCAGACTGTCCCTACCCCAGAAACAGAGTTTTAGTAGCAACAGCGGCTTTCTTAGTTATCATTTTGCTTTATTAATTTAAAGTGGAATGAGTAACAGTGGTTCATCTTAGGAGTTTTCTGTGAGCCATCTTTCTTACTGTGATTGCCTCATAAATTTTACACTTTCTTTCCTTCTTCCATTCAAAAATCTTCATGGGGGCTGAGAAGAAGGCATAGTGTGTAATTCCTTTGCTGTCAAGCCTGGTGAGCTGAGTTCAATGCCCAGAACCCACAGGGTGGAAGAGGGAAATGGGCTCTTTCGAGTTTCCTTTGACCTCCATAGGCACCTGCCCGCACACAGGTACACACAAAGTCGCTATTTCAAAAAGGTGGGCATGGTAGCCTACACTTATGTTCCAGGAGAGTCATGGTGCTACACAGAAAAATCCTGTTTTAAAAAGCCAAAAAAAAAAAGTGTTCATAATATTTGTTATAATCTGGACAAGATATTCTTAGATTCATGAGACTTCTTTTTGTTTGTTTGTTTGTTTGTTTTTTTGTTTTTCAAGACAGGGTTTCTCTGTGGCTTTGGAGCCTGTCCTAGAACTAGCTCTTGTAGACCAGGCTAATCTCAAACTCACAGAGATCCACCTGCCTCTGCCTCCTAAGTGCTGGGATTAAAGGCATGCATGCGCCACCACTGCCTGGCTGAGACTTCATTCTTTAAGGAGAAAAAGGGACAATAAAGAATAGTAACTACAGTAAGTATACTATAATCTCAGAAGTAAAATGAAGATAAGTACATTTGGGAAATGATGAGCAATAATCTAGGCAGACACTTGAGTACTAAGGCTGAATAACTTGAGTGGTTTCTTCCAGAGTGTCCCAGTTACCTGGGTAAAGTGAGTAAAAAATTCTTGTTACTATGTAGAGAAGAGATAACAGCAAAGAGAAAAAGTTACATATGGAGAATAAATCCTGTAGGCTGAAGGACGTCACAAGCAGGAACCATAGGGCACAGGGGACAGGGAGAGAGTAGAAGGTGAAAATAAGAGAAGAGGTATTGAGGGGCATTGGTGGCGCACACCTTTAATCCCAGCACTTGGGAGGCAGAGGCAGGCGGATCCCTGTGAGTTCGAGACCAGCCTGGTCTACAAGAGTTAGTTCCAGGACAGCCTCCAAAGCCACAGAGAAACCCTGTCTCAACTCCCCACCCCCCCCAATAAAAGAGAAGAGGTAGCATCTCGATCAAGTAGAGCCTGAAACCTAAGCGGGGCCTTCAGATTTTATTTTTAAAAAAGTTTAGTGCTAATCTCTAGGGTTTGAAGCAGGAAATCGATTCTTTTGAATTCTTCCTTGTTAAGTTATCCCAGATTAACATATTCATGGATCTCTTTAAAGGCCTAGCCCACTTAAATTCAAGGGAAAGGATTCTGTAACACTAGGTGGGTATTGGGTGAGCCCAGGACTATCCTGGGGGCCAATTCTTCACTTGGTTTCCATTTCTATCAAAGATGACCTTAGGCACTGACTGGCTGAACCTCATCATCTTCTTCTGGTATGGCAGGATGAGTAGTGTGAGGCTGGAGGTGTGTCTCATGGGTAGAGAGCCTGGGTTACCAATTTGAGGTACTGTCCTCATCACTCCCATTGCAAAGAAGGACACTGGGAGGCCAGCAGCTTGGGCAGACAGTCAGATATGCTGAGCTACAGATTAGTAGGGTCTCTACCTGGAGACCACTCAGGCTTTGTGATCCCGTGTCCCTTTCTTATTTTTGGATTTGCTGTGGGTAGGTTACAAAATGGCGGCTTCACAGAGAAAAGTTGAAGCTCTTCTCATAAGGGCTGGCTTTGTCTTAAGGTTCAAGAAGGTTGTATCTGTTTGGAAGAGGTCTTGTTATCAATGTTTTTCCTTACCTAGTGTCTTCTCTATTCTTGATTAAAATGTATAGTGTGCATTTCTATAGTTCTTTCCTCTACATACACAAACATCTCTTCTTTTCCAATTTATCTTTTCTACTGAACTATTAATTACTTCAGAGTAGGCTGTAGTTGTTCTTTCTTACCCTTTTTACTCTTCGATGCTGGGGGGGGCTGCCATTCAGCTCCCAAATAAATAATACACAGAGGCTTATGTTTATAAATGCCTGGCCTCAGCTTGACTTGTTTCTTGCCAGCTTTTCTAAACTTTAATTATCCTGATACCTTTTGCTTCTGGGATTTTCCCTTTTTCACTTATGTATATCTTACTTTCACTCTTACTCTGTGACTGGTTGAGTGGCGAGGTGGCTGGCTCCTGATGTCCTCCTCTCCTTGTTCTCTTGCTCCTCCCTCCTTCCCCCATCTCTGTTTCTATTTATTCTCTCTGCCTGCCAGCCCCGCCTATCCTCTCTCTTGCCTTGCTATTGGCCATTCGTCTCTTTATTAGACCATCAGGTGTTTTAGACAGGCAACGAACGAGTCACAGCTTCCCAGAGTTAAGCAAATACAATATAAAAGAATACAGCACATCTTTGCATCATTAAAACAAATGTTCTACAGCATAAACAAATATAACACACCTTGAAATAAAATTTTCTATTTATCTGCTTGTACACACAGGTTATAGAGCAGTGCATTGCTCACAATAATGCCAAGTAAACAAGTCTGGAATGCACAGATGAGTTCTGGAAGCATCCTTGGACCATTCTTCTCATCCTAAACTTTCTATTGAATGCCGGTCTCTTAGTTTTAAATTCCTTTTGGCATTTTCAATTGATGATTGTTTTCCCTCAGACTGAATTTCACACACTCATGAGCCTTTCCAACTTCTCCTGTTTTATAGACAATGTCAACTTCTTTGTTCTTTCCTAAGCCATACATTGTATCATACCTAGTTTCAGTCACAATATTTTGAATTGTCATTTACTCCACCTTATTGATTTAATCCTTAGTTTAGAGCATTATCTGATTTTTGAAAAAAATAATAGACGTTTTGTCACCTAGAGGGTTATTCTGAGTAAAATATACTCCCTTCTAAAATTCAGCTGTGTCTCTCTGCAATATCAGTCATGATCAATGATACATCTTATTCATAAATCTATGTTTTGGTCCACTTTGAAGGTATTTCTGCACACTGGATATATGTTAGACAAGTCATTCTTCTCCATACAGCCTTATTCAATGTTCCATAAACTAAATGAGACAATATTTTTGTATTTTACAAATAAGAAAACTGAGATTTAGTTACAACAAGTTGTATATTTCAAGAAAAATGGTAGAATTGAGATTTTAACACATATCTATTTACTTAGGAAATCTGAACACTGCCTAATTATTGTCTTAGTAACACCCTGAATTCTTGCTTCATCTGGAAGAATTTCCATGGCATAGTCCAACAATCTTCATTTCCCATTGTTGTGTTCTTGAATCTTTGATGCCATACTTCAATTATCTCCTCCTAGAGATTTCCCTCGACTTTTAAAAATTCTGTTGGATTATCAACACTTTAATACACAGGGATGTCTGGGTTACATCTTCCTTTAATTTAACTGAGAGTCTTCTATGGTACCTCAGAAATATATTGTCAGTAATATATAAAACTTTACACAGTCTTTCATCAATACATATATCTAATAAATTGTTATAATATTACTATTATTATTGTTGTTTTTTTTCGAGACAGGGTTTCTCTGTATTGTTTTAGAGGCTGTCCAGGAACCAGCTCTGTAGACCAGGCTGGTCTCGAACTCATAGAGATCCACCTGCTTTTGCCTCCCGAGTGCTGGGATTAAAGTCATGCACCACCAACGCCCAGATAACATTACTTTTATTGATGCATCAAATTGAAGAAGTTTGTGCTTCAGTACCTTATAATCTGATTGAAAAGTTTCTACACCCGATAAGCCTCTCGGCTGATCCAGCAATCCAAATCAGACCAAATCAAACCGAATTAGAAACAGCCCCATTTAATGGATACAACGCTCCTGGGTGGGCTTCCAATCGCCCAGAAAGGAGGTGGGAAAGGGAGTCAGGAAAAACTCTTGAGTCTTGTCTGGGAGGCAGTTTAAATACCCCCTGGGGGGATCTTGAGGTTCTCTGGGGGAGGGGTCATCATTTGGTGGGCTTTCTGAGGTGCAGCGTGGTTTAGAGAGAGATGGGGGAGGGGGTTGGGTGGAACTCCCACTATAACACTCACTCAAGGATACCCAGATTTGAATGCTACATTTTTGGGTCACCCCACCCCTTCCTATGAAGCAGCATCAACTATGATACAGACACTGCCTTAACACAAACAGCAAAATCCCTTCGCCACTGCTGTTGTCTTCTCAGTGTACTGGAGAAAGAAAAATGAAATAGCTGTATTTTTTTCTTTCTTTTATGGTGAGAACGTAAATATTCTTTTCATCTTCACTGCTCTTTCAACAAATCACTAAAAATGTCTTTTCTTTCTTTCTGTTTTTTTTTTTCTTTCATTTATTTATTTATTGGTTTGGTTTTTCGAGACAGGGTTTCTCTGAGGCTTTGGAGCCCATCTCTGTAGACCAGGCTGGTCTCAAACTCACAGAGATTCGCCTGTCTCTATCTCCCGAGTGCTGGGATTAAAGGCGCTGCCATCACTGTCAGGTTGTGAAGATTCTTCTGCACAGAAGCTAGTACTACAACCCTCGCTTCATAACCGTGCCTGGAAACCCTGGGTTCAGTCATAGCCATCAGCAGCAGGGCAAGAACCCGGCGGACTTAGGACCGCCTGGAAGACAAGTTTTCTGCTCCTCTAGCTCCCGAGCACCGGCGTCGCGTCCCGTGACGTCACCGTTCCCGGACGTACCGCGTAGCGCCGGGGGCGTGTCTCCGGGTCGGTCCTCGTGCCGTCACCCGAGAGCCGCGGGGGTGTGGGTTCCGCGGGGGCGAGCGCGTCCAGTTAGGAGACCCCGGGAGCCGGCTCCGGCCCGCGCGGCGCCATGGAGGTGGTGGAGGCCGCGGCGCAGCTGCAGACGCTGCAGTTCGGCAGCTCCGGCCAGGGGCCCGCGGCGTCGGAGGAGCGCGGGGACACCGACCAGGCCGAGCAGGGCCCGGAGGCCGGGGAGCAGCCGCCAGCCCCGAGCGCCGAGGCCGGCGGAAGCCCGGCGCAGCCCGACCCGCCGCCTCCGAGCGAGGCCCGCGCCACCGGCCCGGACGCCGCGGAGCCGCCGCCAGCCCTGCCGGCCTCGGACTCCTCGGACTCGGACTCGGATTCGGACAGGTGGAGTGCACGCGGGCCCGGGGGCTGCCGGGCGGGACCGGGGGACGGGGGTAGGGGCCTGGGTCGTCAGCGCCCGCGCGGTGCGGCCCTGGTCGGCCGGGGGGCGCCGCGGATGCTCGGTGCTGCGCACGTGCGCTCGCTCTGGGAGCATCGCCTCCCCTGGGTGCCTGTCCGCTCAGTTCAGAGAGTTCCCACCTCCCTCCCCAACTTGATAGCCGGCAGAGTTACACCGAGAGGTCGTAACCTGTTCACGCTGTCGGGAAACCCGACCTTTGTAGGTTATCTTCATGCCATCCACGTTTAGCATGGACTCTAGGGTTACGGCATGAAGTTTGTTTCCGTTGAGAGTTGCTGCTTCCCGACCCCCACCCCCTTCCAAATCTTAGGATTTTGGTGGTCAGGAAAAGGATTGTTCTACGTTTCAAAGTTGACTTCTTTCGGGCTGGTCTCAAACGGTAGCCTGGGAGGATGCCGGTGATCCTCCTGCCTCCACCTCCCAAGTGCAGGTTGAGCACGTACCCACCAGCATTCTCCTCTCATAGTTGTTTCTGGACAGTTCCTGTGACTCCAGAGAATCTTTATAGGGAGCAGGATTCTATACAATTTGCTAACCAGGTTCTTGGTCTTTGGGACACTATGCTTTAACACAGACTTTTCCTCTCCGCAGCCCTGGTGGAAGAAGATCCAAAATATAGAATGTTTTCAAACTACGTTGGGCACAACTAGTTGAATAAGCACAGGGTGACGGGGTTCTGAGAGGCGGACAAGATAGACCTATGATGGGGAGCTGTGCCTTTTTTTTTTTTTTTTTTTTTGGAAACCACTAAGAGGCGGGAGAATGGTTTCTAGTAGAGGGAGAGCCATAGGAGGTGGGGGGCGGGGAGCTAAGCCAGGTGTGAACCCATTGGTTTCCTTGGCAGTTTTAAGATGGTAGTGATCTTGTAATCAGAGCCCATGCGTGCTGCTGGGAAACTGTTAGAGATACAGGCAGATCAGGAGCCCCATTTTAAGTGAAACATGCAACAACTTAGTGCTGGGAAATGACTTCTGACCCTTTGTGGCAGAGGGTTCCAGATATTTGAAGAAATGAAAAAAGGTACAACTCTTTGCCTGTGTGCTAGATTTTGTTTTTGCTGTTTTGTTTTTCAAGACGGTTTCTCTGTGTAGCCTTGGCTGTTCTGGAACTCTCTCTCTGTAGACCAGGTTGGCCTCAAACTCACAGATCTGTCTGTTGTGTCTCCTGCTCCCCCCACCCCAAGATCTGCCTGTCCTGCTCCGCCCCCCAGCTTAAGTAGTGTTTTGGTAATAGATACTGATTTCAAGTTTTTATTAATTGTGTGGCTTTTTCTGAGGAGACAGGAACAGACATCTCTTCATCTCAGATAGTGCACCAGTAACAGGCCAAAGAAAGAGTTCCACCCAAGTCTAGCTTAGTGAGACAGTGCATTTATTGGTTTGTTCACAGGAGCAAAGGCAGCTGTCTCATGGGTGACATGACTCTTGGGTGACAAAAGCTGTATCCCTGGAGCTCCTTGCTGTGGTGACTGGTCTACCAGAAGTCCCTGCCAAGCAGTTTACTGTTTTTATAACTTTAGGTACCAGACTTGTGGGTTTCACCAGTTTCTTGAGTCTTCTAGGCCTCTCTCCTGCATCTAAGAGGCTGTGTTTCAACTGGGAGGAAATAGCTGTACTGCAGTACCCCAAAATGCTTTTTAAGAAGTTGTGAACAGCCTCCAGTAGCAGTTTGAAAAGTGCTGGGGAGTAGGGAGTAGGGAAGGAAAGTAATTTGGTGAATGGGGGCAGCTTCAGAGGAGGGTAGTATTTTTGTTGAGTCTTTAATGAACTCATGTTGTCTAGGTTGAGGTTTTTCAGGCAGATCAGGTAGCATAATTTCACAATAATGAATATGAGGATGGAGTTAGGTTCTGTGGGGAGTGGGAGGAGCTAGTTAGTGGTCTGGAGGTTACTAGAAACCTGATTTTCAGGCAGTAAGGCTGACATTAAAGAGCATGTATTTTTATCTTGTCACAGTAAAGATGTTTGTGGGGGAAAATTAACATTTTTCTGTATGTTTGAATATTGTATTAGCGAAAAATGCAAATCCATACAGCTACCATCTTGATTTAACAACTATTAGTATTTTGATACTACTAGTTAAATGTTATTGGACCATTTAAAACTAATTTGCTGCAGACATCATGGCATTTAAATATATCAGCACAGCGTTCTTTTTGTAATTGAAAATATTATTTTTCATATAACATATCATGAACATAGTTCCCCTCCTTATGATAAATCTTGAAGGGGACCTTGTTGGGTTCCATGGCAGGTGAGGGTGACCGAGCCGGAGAGACAGGCAGGTCAGGCAGACAGAGCTTATGTGAAAAGTTTTATTAGAAAGCGGAGGGAAAGGGAAAGGAAAGAGAAAAAGAGATAAAGAGACACAGAGAAACAGAGACACAGAGACGGAGAGAAGAAAAGTTCTGTCTGCCCAAGGGGCCAGCAGGAAAGAGAGCTTAATTGGGTGGGGATCTTTCCTTTAAAGGGGTCCTTTGCACCTGTGGGCAGACTACATAATCATGGAACCCTGGACTGACCAGGGCACTGCCTGAGTGCCTTCTGGCAGGGGACGGGCAGGCCAGCATAATGCCTGAATCCTTACACCCCTCTCTCATCTCCTGCCAGTTTCTCCTCCCCTGACCAAGTTCACACCTTCTCTCTGTCTGTAGAAAACAAACAGGCTAATGGAGACTATTCTCTCCAGGATCTCAGTTAGCCAGGAGTGGCTTCAGACTTACAGTGTAGCCAAGGATGACCTCGAAGTTCTGATTCTCCCGCTTCCAGGAGAGTTGAGACTTCAAGCATGTACCACAGTGCTTGACTTAAAGTGGACATTGGTTTATACATACAACACCGTTACCAACCAAAATCTTAAGTGCCGTCTTACAAAATTATTGTGATCTCTTTTCCAATCCTCTTTTTTTTTTAAAGCAAGGGCAGGAGCTCATTTGGGTGAAAGGTCATGAGAAGGTAAAAGTAACATCAGTGGATGAATAGTTGTAGGGAGAGCTGCTTTGTTGGTGTTGATAAGCTATTATAGAAAAGGTGAGAAACGGTATCCTGAAATGGTGAGGAAGATTAGGAAGTGTCATACATAGGATTAGTTAGGAGATTGGACTTGGATGATTGACCTAGGATGAAGTAGTTTTCAAATGATGCCAGGGTCCCACCCACCGCGACTGGATCGAAGACTGGGTAGTGAAATAAACATAGATGTTCAGGGAAAGACATGGAATCTTCTTTTTTCCTCCCTCGATTTTAACTTGTTAGAAATATGAAGTATGTACTCTTCATACAGTTGGGATTGGTTTGTACCTAGGCGTTAGGACCCTAGAATAGTTATGTTAGAGCTGAAAATGGAGGTATTTATCAGCAAGTGAATGATGATTGAGATCATAGGAATGAATGTTACCTGCCTGAAGAGTGTAGAGACAAGGTGTCTATGGGTAAAACACTTAAAAATAGCACATAAAATGGGCCAAAGTTAGTGGGCTGATTGAGTCAAGAACCAAAGAAGTTTTTAGAGTTAAATGGTCACCATGGCAACTTTGAAGAATCCCATGGTGATGACAGAGTAAACTTACTGAATTAGGTGGTCTCATCATAGGTGACTCCAGCAGGTGCTTTGCCTAGAGTTACCATTAGTCACTGATCATCACATGCTTAATTGTAGTCAGACATTTATAAGGTGACACTATTAGCCCAGAGAGGGTCCAGATTTATATGTCTGTATAATAATATATATTCAATGTCAAAAGTGGCCTCTCTCCATAATTATTCTTCCACTGGATTTTAAAATAGACAGGATAAGCCCAGTGGAGAGGCACACACCTTTAATCCCAGGGAGGCAGAGGCAGGAGGCTCTCTGGTTCAAGGTCAATCTGGTATACAGACTGAGTTCCCAGACAAGCAAGGCTACAAAAAGAAACCCTGTCTCAAAACAACAACAACAACAACAAGAAACAAACAAACAAAAAACTAGTATTCAACTAGTCCTTTTGATTTAGACAAGCAATAGAAGAAAGAGGAAGTGAATTGTTTCCTACTTGAAACAGGATTTTATTTTAATTATGATAGTACTTGACCAAGTTTTCAACTTTGCCTTTACAGTGAAACGGATTCAGATTCAGATAGTTCAAGTTCTTCCTCTTCCTCCTCCTCATCTTCCTCCTGTGTATCACTTCCTCCAGTGCTGTCAGATGGAGAGGAAGATGTACAAGTTGAGAAGGACAATAAGAATTTTCCTCTTAAAACAAAAGATGAGTTGCTTCTTAATGTAAGTGCTTGGGTTTGTTACTTATATTATTTATATTACATATTTCTGTTATTTGTATTGATTGCTCCGTAAACCTAGTGCCTCTTCTCAGCTTTTTGCACGTATCTCCCCTGTGCTTTCACACTTATTTATAAAGAGTCATGCAGAAAGTTTCTGTGGTTGCTTCTAACCCAGACACAAGTGTGGGTCTGCTATCTCTGGGTTTCCCTGTCATGATCTTGATCCCCACCCCTTGCTCATATAATCCCTCCTCTCTCTTCACCTGTACTCTTTGAGCTCTGCCCAGTGCTTGACTATGAATCTCTGCCTCTGCTTCCATCAGTTACTGGTTGAAGACTGATAACTACTAGGGTAGTCACCAATCTGATTACAGGAAGAAGGTTGGTTCAGGTACCCTTTCCACTATGCTAGGAGTCTTAGCTAGCTGGGGTCTTCCTTGTTGACTTATAGGAATTCCTCTAGCACCAGGGTTCTCCCTAATCCCATAATGTTCCCCCCCAATCAAGATACCTCTTTTATTGTCCTCCCTCTCCTTCTCTCCTTCCCTCCCCCAACTCAGCCCTCCTCATACCTCATGTTCCCAACCATTCCCCCCCTCCTCCTCTATATGCACCCTCCCCCATTTTACCCAGGAAGCTTCCTCTAGTTCCCTTTCCAGAGTGATCCCTCTTAGGTTCTTTGGCACCTAGCTTCTCTGGGGCTATAAATTATAGCATGTTATTTTCTGCTTCACATCTAACATCCATGTATGAGTGAGTACATACCATATGTCTTTGTCTTTCTGGGTCTGGGTTACCTCATACAAGATGATTTTTCCAGTTCCATCCATTTGCCTGCAAATTTCATGATATCATTGTTTTTTATTGCTGAGTGATACTCCATTGTGTAAATGTACCACATTTTCTTTATTCGTTAGTTGAGGGGCATCTAGGTTGTTTCCAGCTTCTGGCAGTTACAAATAATGCTGCTGTGAACATTGTTAAGCAAGTATCCTTGAGCATCCTTTGGTTATATGCCCAAGAATAATATGACTGGGTCTCCAGGTAGATGGATTCCCAATTTTCTGAGAAACCGACATATTGGTTTCCATAGTGGCTGTCGTGACTGTATAAGTTTGCACTCCCACCAGCAGTGGAAGAATGTTCTCCTTACTTCACGTCCTCTCCAACATAAGCTGTGATTAGTGTTTTTAATGTTAGCCATTCTGACAGGTGTAAGATGGTATCTCAGAGTCATTTTGATTTGTTTCCCTGATGACTTTAAGACTGTTGAGCAATTCCTTAAATGTCTTTTGGCCATTTGAGATTCTTCTGCTGAGAATTCTCCGTTTAGATCTGTACCTCATTTTTTAATTGGATTATTTGGTATTTTGATGTTTAGTTTCTTGAGTTTCTAAATATATTTTGAAGATCAGCCCTTTATCAGATGTGGGGATGGTGAAGATCTTTTCCTGCTCTGTAGGTTGCCATTTTGTCTTACTGACAGTGTCCTTTGCCTTACTTGAGCTTTGCAGTTTCAGGAGGTCCCATTTATTAATTGTCAGTCTCAGTATCTGTGCTACCGCTGTTATATTCAGGAAGTAGTCTCCTGTGCCAATGCATTCAAGGCTACTTCCCACTTCTTTTTCTGTTAAGTTCATTGTAACTGGATTTATGTTGAGGTCTTTGAGCCACTTGGACTTGAATTTTGTGCATGGCCATAGCTAGGGATCTATTTTCATTCTTCTACATGTTGGCAACCATTTATGCTACCACCATTTGTTGAAGATGCCTTCTTTTTTCCATTGTATAATTTTAGCTTCTTTGTCAAAAATCAGGTATTCATAGGTGTGTGGGTTTATTTATGTCAGGGACTTCAGTTCTATTACATTGGTCCATCTGTTTTTGTGCCAATACCAAGCTGTTTTCATTACTGTAGCTGTATAGTAAAATTTGAAGTCAGGGATGGTGATGCCCCCAGATGATCCTTTATTGTACAGGGTTGATTTGGCTATCCTGGGTTTTTTGTTTTTCCATATGAAGTTGAGTATTGTTCCTTTGAGGTCTGTGAAGAATTGTGTTGGGATTTTGATGGGGATTGCATTGAATCTGTAGATTGCTTTTGGTAAGATTGCCATTTTTATTGTTAGTCCTACCTATCCAGTAGCATGGGAGATCTGCCATTTTCTGAACATTGGGATGTTTGGAACCACTAGGTTCTGTTTGTGCTGTATTGCTCTTTATGTTGTTGAATGGATTCTTACATTGTCACTTACCCATCTGGTTTGGGATAATCATAGGTATGGTTGGTTGTTGACTCTTGTGCTGTTTTTGTTGGATGGGTGTTTTGTTCCTTCATTGTCTTTTGGCCTAAGTGGCCAATGGTTCTGATAATTGGCTGGTTGTCAGGTCCAGTAGGGTTGTCTCAGCTGAGGTTTGTGTGGGTCTGGGTGCCTAGATCCATTGTATCATCTAGTTCTTCTGGCTGGTGTGGGCCTTACTTGTACCTATGGTGTCTGTCCTTCCAGCTGAACTGGTGTAGGTTTTGCCTGTGCCTGTTCTTCCAACTGGTGTGGATGGCTCTTGTGCCTATAGAATCTGCTGCTGTTTCTGTAGAGGGCTGTTCAAAGGGAGGCTACTCTTCAACTGGTGCAGGTGGTGCTTGTGCCTCTAGGGGCTGCTGATCTTGCAGGGGATGGTTGTCCAGAGGGCGCATGGTGGGTTTGGTGGGTTTGGGTGGTGTCGTGTAGGTAACAGTGTCCATGGGTGGCCACAGTGGCAGAACAGCCTGCCTACAGGGCTCTTACCTGCTGGCTGGCTGCTGAAGCTGACTGTTTTCAAGTCTTTAGAAGACTTGCTTAGCATGCACAAAAAACCTGGGAACCTGTGTTCATTCCCAGACTACCAAAACATGAGAAAATTACTTTTCGTAGTTTCATGGCCTTGTGTCCTTTGTTTAGAGAGTTTCTTTGATAGTAATTGAAACCTTTTTAATTATTGCTTTTAGAGAAGAATGCAAAATTCACTGGCTTTAATGGGTTTTAAGCTTTTTAGGATACCTAATCACTTGAAACTTTGCATTATTTTTAAGAATCCTATGAAGTTATGAGGGTCAGTTATATTCAGACCACCACAATGTCATCTTTCAGAAGTTCCCATTATAAAACCAACAAATAGGAGATCACGATATTTTAGAAACTTACCTATATAGTTTTATCTGCCTTTTTAAGTCTGAATTTCTTAACATTGGGAGTCCTTTGAAATTTAATGCAAAATCTCCCTGTATTGTGGTAGTGGTGGTGGTGGTGGTGGTGATGTTTTTCTAAATAGAATACTCAGACATTCATGAAAAATCACATAGGGTCTTAAGGAGCCATATTTTAGGACTGAGTCCATAACTGAGTTTTGTGTCTCCTTAGTACTCAGTGAAGTAGTTGACTCTGATTGTTGGTTCATAGTCAGCAGTAGTGATTACAGAATGAATGTGTGAATAGGTGTCTTTTTCATTTGTTCTTTTAAGAAATTGCAGCATATCTGAAATGTATGCCAGATACATTAAACAATACCAGTCATGTTTCTGCTTTCATATTATCTAATGGAAAGACAGTAAATAGAACAGGAACAAATTAAATTGCTAGGAGTGCTGTTGAAGTGTGTATATTTGGCTCGTCTGAACTCAATAATGATGTCTTTTTTGTCTTATTTCTAAGGGATCTTTTGGGAAAGACAGAAGAGGCAATTGCAGTTTATTTTATGTTCGTAGGTGTTCTGCCTGCATGTATGTCTGTGTGAAGAGGCAATTGTGGTTTATGTTCGCAGGTGTTCTGCCTGCATGTATGTCTGTGTGAAGAGGCAACTGCAGTTTATTTTATGTTCGTGGTGTTCTGCCTGCATGTATGTCTGTGTGAAGGTGTCGGAAGCCCTGGAACTTGAGTTACAGACAGGTGTGAGCTGCCGTGTAGATGCTGGGAATTGAATTGAGTCCTCTGAAAGAGCAGCCAGTGCTCTTATCCACTGAGCCACCTCTCCAGCCCCTATTTACTTAGGGTTTTGAGAGAGGGTTTCTCTGCTTAGCTCTGGCTGTCCTACGTCATTATGTAGACCAGGCTGGTCTTGAGCTTACTTAGATCTTCCTGCCTCTGCCTCCCTAGTGCCAGGATAAAGGCACACTCCATCACACCTAACAAGTTTTTAATTGTAAAGTTAATGGAATTCGTGGTAAACTTGTTTTTACATCAACAGTATTAGGTAAACAACACTACCACTTTGTTACTAGAGATAGGAGAGACATTGTAATTTCTCTGGTTTGTCCTAAATCCCTGACTCTGGAAGGATCTTTATGACTCTCTCAAAGAATTCATTAAGTTCAAGACATGAAAGTAACTTGGAAAAGAGAGGAGAGAGTAAGTAACTTGATCCTGAATTCCAAGGATAGTATGACCTTCCTGTTCTGCCTCTGTGTTGCTCTGTAGGGGTGTCAGTTTGGCCAACAATATGTATTTTTATGAGGGGTTTAACCTGCAACCTAAATCTTGTCTCACAGCCTTGAATAATGGAGCCAGTGGAATCATATGAGTTTGGACAATGAGCCTCATGGTCATTCCTGTTTGTGTGGGCAAGTCTGTAGGAGGTGAGAATGTAGAAAAGTGAAAGCTTGCAAAGCACATGGACTAGTGTTGATAGTAGGAGTGCCTGTGAGCCAGTTGGCAGGACAGGAGTGTGAATGTGTATTTTGAGGCGGGAGGTTATTTACCATATAAGCCATGTGGGATGGTTTTTCTGACAAAGGGATGCCAACCAGTTGTAGTATCAGTGTTAACTGATGGAGACAAGTACTTGAAAGTGATTGTGATGCTTGGCTAAGGTTGGACTCAGTATAGTGAGAAGAAAAGACTCAAAGAGAATAGAAAGATTTACTGTAAATGTGAGGTGGAAAGTCACAGGAGCTAAGGCTGCTATTCAGCCATTGTTTCCCATGCCTTCTGAATGCTCCAGTTTCAATGCCTGTCCTGTGATTCTGTC